TTCGCATATCTTTTATATAAGCAGTTGTTTACCCCAGCGCAATGATGCGAACTGCTACATTTATTTATTTATTTATTTACAGAATACTGCAGGCTCACTTCAGAGCCCATGCAGGAGTGGGAAAAGAAAAAAAAAATCACAAGCAATCAGCAGTCAAGGCACACAAAATTAATAAATGTACGCATGACAATTAATATTCAACAGCAATTTTCACCACATAAATTAGTAACAATTCGTGACCAAATTAAGTATATTTACACAAAACTATACACACCAATACATATTCGCAATAACATATGGCGCAGCGATAGGAGCATTTTGGGGCTTAACGTTATGAAGTGATAAAATCAAAGTGTTCAATGTTCTGTAACGACTCAAACGGCAGGGCGTTCCAGTCGACAATGGTCCTAGGAAAAAAAGAGAACTTAAATGTATTGGTACGTGTCTGGAATGGTGTTATTGACGCAGCATGGCGATTTCTAGTTTCTCGTGACGTCAGTGGTTGTATAAACGTAGAGGCATCTAGTGCGAAATGTTTGTGTTTTAAATGAAAAAGAAATTTTAATCTCAGAATTTTGCGACGAAGTTGAAGTTCTTGTATATTATTTTCTTTCATGATAGCTGTAGGGGAGTCTGTCATGCGGTACTTAGAAAATATAAACCTGATGCATTTACGTTGAATCATTTCTATGGCATGAATGTTTTTCCTAGTGTATGGGTCCCAAATGACGCACGCATACTCGAGAGAAGGTCTAATGATGGTATTATAGGCTAACAGCTTCACTGATGACGGGGCAAAACGAAGTTTGTACTTGAGAAAGCATAGCTTACGGAAAGCGTTACATATCAGCCCACTGCTTCTGGTGTCGATAATACATCTGTATTATCGACACCAGAAGCAGTGGGCTGATATGTAACGCTTGTGCTTGTGAGGATAGTAGCCTTGCACAAATGCTAAACAATTCAACTTTAGTGGATGCCCCTTAAAATTCACGTTAGACGGACGAGAGGGCTGTATCATATTAGTACATATGTAATGTTTATAAATTTAGGTAGCCAGCATTGGAACCACAAATAACGCTTCACTAACATTACGCCTGAGATATGTACTTTTCCAAAGCAGTACTGAGACGTGGTGAGCTCTGGTGGAATACTCTATTGCCAAGCGGAATTCGGGGGCTTGATTCCAGCTGTGGCCCTTACATTTATTCTTGGCGTTTGTCGGTTCAACGCCGTGTATGTCAGCTTTTTTCTTAACGCTGTCACGTTAAAATTACCAATGTCAGCTCTTGCCGTTCCTAGGCAGACAAACTGTCAATCACCTGTGACAAATACCCGCCGGCGGGTATGTGCCACACATTTGGCACTAATAGTTTGACGACGTATGCGACGGAATCGTCACATTCTTCACGTCATGGCCAGCTTATCATATACATCAAACCATCTTGCCTTTCCAGACTAATTTTGTGTCACCCTAAGGTGGTGATCACGGCAGCACCCAGACTTAGTAAGATAGATAAATATATACGTAGATAGACGTCAAAAGTGCTTGGAATACGCGAAGAAATACTTCGTAAAAAAGGAAAGAAAACGCAAAGATGTGCTTTGCAATTCAAAGGATTTGGCGCCATTGATAATATGCCCGGTCTTTGCTGTCGTTGACGGAGAGTCTTGGGTTCGATTCTCGAAACGTTTGTTTGTTTGCTTTCTGATCATGCATTATTTTTCAATGTCCTTTTCTGTGATAGAAATACGAAACTCAAGACTTGGTGAACCCCAACATATTGAAACTTTATTCTTCAGTGATCATCATCAGGAGCGGGTATGTGCTACAAGGATCGGGCACACCCCACTCCACCCTCGTTCACAATAAATTAGGAAGGGGACATTTAGCCAAACCATTGTCTTCAAAGCAGCGGTGGCAAGCCCACCTGTTGCCAATCAAGCGTGGACATGCGTGCCGAGCCGCCAGTTAGTGGAAATCACTTGTGTAAAATGATCCTTTCTCAAACCAAGGGTCGAAACTTGAAGAGACACATGGTAGCCTCCTAGATTGTGTATTTGAATCTTGAACGCCATAATTCGCCTTCAGTCAGTCTGTAAGATTAAAATACGGATGGCATTGGCGTCGAGCACTTTTTTTCTTTTAACACAACGATGAGTTCTGCTGTCATTTTACTGTACTATGAAGTGTCTGCGACGTTGATCCAAGCCATTTTATTACACATCACGCATGTTACGAAAGGTGGATGAGGACCTAAACAGAAAGGGGGAGGTCATAACAAGACGCTAGGCCTCACAACGCCATGCTTGATTGTGTGAGACGCGCGCACATGCCGACTCCCCGATATTGCGGGCGAGGCTGTAAACATCCCGCGAAAACTCCCCAGCACCCTCAAGACAAAAAACTAATCACAAAAAGACAGAGTTTGTGAAATTTTCTGACCGTCATCTGTCCATTACAAAGCACTTCATAAGTCTTTTTTGCCGCAGTACTTTCTTGTCGTGTGAAAAAGCGTACAAAGACAAGGAAGTGGCTACTAGCTGTCGGGGTAACAGAACACCGGGCTCGTTACACACACGCACGCAGAGGCCGTATACTTACGAGTGCACGTATGATTGTTGACATTTAAAAATGTAACCAGCAGTCCTTCGGAGTGGGTCGTGACGTTTCTTGGGCCCTGAAACAGAATAAACATAAAAAAATCGCGAGCTTTGGTGTTTTTTTTATTTTGGCACGCTCATTTTTCATATTGTATACCGATACGAATTTCAATTGATACGAATATTTACGGTGTCTCCACGGGGCTCACTTTATCTAACTTTAGCGGTAATTGTTGTGGTTTTATGTGCCTAAACATTATGATTACGAGGGACCCCAGGTGGTCGAAATTTCCGGAGCCCTCCACTACAGCGTCTCACATAATCATATGGTGATTTTGAGACGTTAAAACCCACTAATCAATCAATCAATTGCGATGGGCATTGTAGAGGAGGTATCCGGTAATTTTGACCACCGGGAGATTTTTAACCGACAGATAAATTAAGTACGCGTTCCTGAAAATTTTTCGCGTTGGCTATTAATATGACACTTGCTACCGGAATTAGATCCCGTTACCTTCAGGATGGTTAGGTTAGGATGGCTTCTGGTTAGGGTACTCAAGTACCCTAACCAGAAGGGCAGCTTGACATGTGTAAAAACTAAACCATAACGCAATTATTAGGTACAATATTGTAGCTACAGCAATGCAATTTCTTTGTTCTTGGAGCAGTTGTAGAAACAATAAACCTTTGTTTCAACCATTTGAACTTGGTGATCAAATTGATCAGGCAAACTTCTTTTGACGTTGTTCTTGCTTCGTTTCTATTCGTAAGGCTACTTGAATTTTTTTATATTTTTATGTCTGTTAATCTCAACTCCATGGCAATAGGCGTCCTGTTGCAACTGATAGTGACTATTATGCCAGACTGTGAAATCCAGTACTGCTATAAAGAGCAGCCAACACTAAGGGAGCACTTGTAAGCACGATTACATCATTGGAATTCTCACAACACTCACTTTAGATTGACCATGTGACACTTCTCTAAACACGGATTGTTTGAAGGAGTCCAATCAACTGCCGCAAAAATTATTAACTGCCGCAAATTCAACTGCCGCAAAAATTATTATAATTACTTAGGTGCTAGAGGAGTTACAAAGATTGGACCCAGGCTTTAGGGATTTTTCTTCTAGTCTTGTAAAATCGAGCTCACTAAATTATATGCATGGGGAGGGGGAGATCCCAACAGGCAAAACGATGCACCCCTTTGTCAGCGTTCGTATATTCTTTGATAAATTTCTTTTTTTTTACGAGAACGCGTCGTCTGCACCTTTAGAGCGATTGCAAGGTGCCCCGTGGAGCCGCCATGACTAAGCAACTAACGATGGTCAGATTAACCAATGAGCTTTGAGTTTCTCTTTACGGTGCGGTCTTTTGTGTTTATAGAATCATTAATCTATCGAGGGCTGGCGATTACTAAGTAGCTTTCAGAATATTCGCAAACTCTAGGCCTCCAATTTTTCTCACTTTCTTTACACTCTTCACATTTTTATCTAAGCTATGATATTAGCGTCCCCTATTTTCGTCGGCCTTTTGTATATTGTTTATAACTAGAGCAGTGCCTAACAAAAAAAAAACTTGCCCTTAAAGGCACCCCTTTTTCTATTCAAACGGCTTGGCATACATTTTGAGCCTAAGGATTCACTTTTGTACACAAACAGAGCACGATGGATTTGAGTATCTGTAGATCTTTAATTGCGCCGTTGCTAAGATGAACACAGAAAGATACAGAAAGTGAGAATAACAATTAATTTAGCAAGTTTTCTGTAGAAATTACGTGGGTGGAGCCCTTAGCCCAGGTCTCCACCGGCTTCATTATCGGCTCACCTGGTCCGGTCTAACGTTGCCGACTGTTTTTAAGAGTAGAATTCTATCTCTCATGACAAGTGTAGTAATATGCTGGCCAGTATTAACGAACAGGCACAAGTTTACTTGACAGCTCTCAATTTTTTTGTAATACACTATCACGAACGTTAAAGTAAAGTAGCGCAGATTTCACAAATTTAGAGATTCTCCGCAGTAATTCGCAGATAAAAGGGATTAGTTATGTTATGAAAAAACGCGTTCTAAGATTTGAGCAGTAGAAAAAGTTTTGCATAAATTTAGTATGCAAAGCAAGATTTTCTGAAACGCTAAAACAATGATGAGGTGGGTCATCAATTTCTGACTTTAAAAGCTTATTTTAATTTTTTCCTTGTTTCACGAATACAATGTAGTTAGGTTAAGAGATGTAACCTAATTAGGTATCGCAACACGTAGTCCTGTCACTGCATTCAAGGTCTGCTAGGTTACATTGTAGTTATACCTCTTGGTGAAGCACGTCGTTCCTTTACATTTGTTGAGCTTTATGTCATGCATAAAAATAAGCATTGTATGGCTTGCTATAAAAGCCTGTGAACACCAGCGGTGCACCAGCAGTTGGTAAGACATCATCTCTGAAGTCACCATGGTGAGCGATACCTTCGATTCTTTAATTAACGACAGAGTTATGTCCGGATGCGGGGATTTTTTGCCTAAGCAGACTGGTGAAGCAAGAGATCTTTGATTTCATTAGAGTCAATCTCGACTCTCGGACATTTTTGAAAAGTCTGTGTACTTTCTTTTAAGTTTGCGCATCTGCTTTAGGAAGGTAAAAGGACGCCATGAAGATGAAACAAACTTAATAGAACACTTATCATAAATAGAAGGCCCAGTGTAAGGGCTCCTTGGTTGTACATTGTTGACACATAGCGACGTGTTCTTGGTTGCGTTGTTCTTCTTCTTGTTCACATTGTGTCAACTTATTAAAAAGCGTATAATAAAGTGTCAATGTACAATGGAGCTGTTCAAAGGTGAAGCCGAAATTTTCTCAGTATATGGCAGGCTGTAATTACGATAGACTTGTATACCGAAAATCGGGACAGTACACTATACAGCGCATTTAAAAATATGTCTTAGATCACTTTGCGGAAGCTCCTTCTTGGTTTTCGTTTTGATTGTATTATAACTCTGATATGATTGAAGAAAAAAAAGATTAACGGTAATGTTAGTTTTAAAATATACGAGTTTTCGCTCGCGTTTCTTTTTTAGCATAGCTAAATTGGGCTACGATTTAACCTCTATTCAAATACTCGGTAAGCGTAGATGAAAAATAAATGACGCACGTCAATTTCAATAGGTTTTACTCGCACAATTTTTATCCTTTAATCGACAAGCTGACAAACGATTAAGCGTCCAATAATAATGTTAAATTACAAAATAGTGCAACATAGGTAAGAAAAGATACGTTTTCAGCAACAAGACTAAACATATTCAATGAACCCACTTATTGTAAAAAACACAACAAAGTTTCTTTATTATATTGTACAAAAAAAAACACAGTGACTCAGTGGTTAATATTGTGAATATCTAGGCTTAATTATTTTGTGAAGCAAGGGACGTTTGCTTTGAGGACGAGAACTCAGTGAAAGTAAATGCCAGTACTAATTTTTGCTAATTTTATATACGTGTTGTAAAACATCCCTACAAAAGTCATCTTTGTTGCCTTTGCTATTCTACAAAGCTTTCCACGTGGCCTTCCAAGCAATACATTTTCTTCAGCACATAACGTAGCGTGACTGATATTTTTGACCACTAGAACCTTTGCAGAAATAGGCTTCTGTGAGTCGTCTACGAGAGGTATAATAATTTGCGCCTGCAATCCAGAAACCAAGTGCATTAGATATATTTATTTAGAACCCATTTAGGAGATATATTGTAAAATGCTCTTTGGTTAGATCCGCGCCTGCATCGTCCTGGCCCTGGCCACCAGCGCTTTCGCTGGTTTCGTCGGCACTGCCGGCTATGGCGTTGGCCTGGCTGCCGCTCCAGCGGTAGCCACTGTGGCCCACGCTGCACCAGTCGCCACTTACGCCGCTGCTCCAGCCATCGCTACCGTTGCCCATGCTCCAGTGGCCACCGCTGTCGCCACCCATGCCGTAGCTAGCTACGTCGCTGCCCCGGCAGTCGCCGCCGTCCATGCTGCCCCAGCTCTCGCTACCGTCGCACACGCTGCTCCGGTCGCCACCATTGCTGCTGCCCCAGTTGCCACCTACGCTGCTGCTCCAGCTGTCACCGCCGTCCATGCTGCCCCAGCCGTTGCTGCCATCCACGCTGCTCCTGCTGTCGCCACTGCCACCATCCATCATGCCCCAGCTGTGGCCACCATTGCCCATGCTGCTCCAGCTGTTGCCGCCTACCACGCCGCTCCAGCCTACTACGGCTACGGTGTTGGCTCCCTCGGCTACGGTGTTGGCAGCTACGGTTACGGCCATGGTCTCCTCGGCTATGGTCTCAACTACGGCTACGGTCTCGGCACTCCATTCCACTATGGTGCTCTCCTCCGCAAGAAGTGTATGTATTGTTTGTTAATATAGAAGGAGTTTGTTCTTATGCATATACGCACAGGTATCGCAAAAAGAAAAATATAGAACCCTGCGAAAGCCTTAACCGTGGATATACAGATACCTGTTGAAAAAATCCAAAAAAAAGGCTTTCATTTCTACGTTTTTTTTTTCAAAAGCAGCAAATTAAAGCCACCTTTTTATTAAGTATAATAATTATATTACTACAATATTTTTGCCGATATTGGACTCTTAGTTTTTCATAAAAAAACTGAGCTGCATAGCTTAGACGACACACATGTGTAGTTGGGGAGGCATAGCACGACACATTTCCTTTGTGTAAAAAGTGTCTTTCGTGATTTTGTATATATGCTTGTAAATGACTGAATGACGTCTAGACAAATTGTGTTCTTATGGCGTATCTTTTTTCTAAATTTTCAGAAACGCCTATTGAGAGAGCAAGAATCATCATCAAGAACAACGACTTGATCATTCTTATTCGACATCCTTCACGAAAATGCGGCGATGCAACCATACATCGCCAAAAATAAAATTTACTGATTATGCGCAATTTCTAGCAAACTTGTTACGCCCTGTGTTGTGTGCAGATGTTGCATTGCCTATTTACATATACAACATTATTCTGCACGTATAAACATTGTATATTAGAGAGAACAGGGAGTAGCGTACTTGTCATTCAAGTACAACCATTACAAGCTGGTTTCCTTAAAACTAAACTACCTCTTATTGAAATATTGAAGCCGAAGAAATCTGCACCTTGTAGCCGAGGCAGTATGCTTCAACGTTCATCAATTTTGAACACGAGTGCCATAACTGCAATGACACGCAAACGTACTTACACAAGAGAAGTTTTATGCAGTCACTGATATATGTGTTTTGGAAAGCACCGGAAACATGTTCTTGCTTTGCACGCAACAAATGCTTACGGACATACAGCCAGCCGTGCAGATGCGAGGCGTAGACAAAATCACGCTCAATAACTCAGGTGTGTGCAGGCAAAAACTTTTTCATCAATTTCACGCTGTGGGACCATCTCCTGTTTATCGCGGTAAGCAATTTTCAATTCGTTTAGTTCTAATACTATTGCAATAATGTGGAATGGTAACATTGCATGTTATAATGGGTTTATGAGGACGCTACACTATGTTGAACGCGAAATTAAGGCTTTATAGTCATATTATTTCCAAATGCGATCATTGCCTTTACAATGGTTTAAATATAATTTTCCAGAGATGCAGTACAAACTACAAAAGATATGCGGACAGCTTCTACCCTCCAAAGTTTGGGATGGAAATTTCGTGCTAAATTATATGCTTTGCCAAAAAGGCTCGCGTTCCAAGTTTTTAACGCGAAAATCATGCCTCATCAAAGGGACAGTTTGACTACTAGTGGTCACGGTTCGCCTGTATCCACGCTGAGTGATGCGAAAAATCAACCAGACGCGTTCACGTCATCACATGATGTCAACATGACGGCGCCAATCGCAACAATTGGTGGCATCACAAATTCTGCAGTGACGTCATGTTACGTAAAGCCACATGATGCTCTTGTAGTGTCCTTATTTAGGCGGCGAACAGAACCGGAGCGAGCGTAACCTAAAGGGACCAAAATCAATACGGCAAATGGCATTGACACTTGAAGCCACAGCTCGTGTTTGCTGCTCCCTCATACATCGTCCGAGAAGGAAAAGACGACTGCTCTTGCTTTCTAGTTGCGTGAATTAAATAGAACTTGTGCGTATTTTTTATTTAAAGTTAGATGCAGCGAGTGTAAAACCATTGGAAAACTGTCTATTGCGTTTTTGTCATCCGAGCTAGTATACTAATTGAGAATAATTCTGGACATATATTTGTAGTTCGAACTAAGTGCATGATTTATTACAAACGCACCAGTCTTATGGGCCTATTTGTGACCTTTCTGTAAGAAACTGATGATGCTGCGCAGCAGTCTTTTTCTGGTAAGGGCTGTACATGGCATATAGTAAATATAGTAATGAGGATCACTTTAGCCTAACTATCGCGATGATGATAGGCGACCTTCATACTAAAGCAGCATGACGGTGACGAAACCTTCCAAAAGGTTCCAAAAGGGTGAGACAGTGCAGAATTATACAACAGCATGACAGTGCCACGATTACCTGCCGAAGGTGTCCTGTCCCTCCCATATTTGTCCCCTTAGAATCTGGCAAGCAGAAAGTTGGGGTGAATAAGTGAGGCGAACGTTAGACACATGTAAAAAGTAGCTTTGGGGCAGTGAAATGTGACAGAAATCGAACGACTCATGCCATTGCATGAACCTTGACACGCTCCCAACAGCTTTTTGTTGCTTGTGAATTGACGTGTCTCAGAAAATCGCTACACGAACCGAGTAATCGAGTTTATAAATATCGGAAATGAAGAAAGAGTAAGCTTTCAGTTTTATAAAAACTTTACTAGATGGGTGAATTACTCAGGGTAGAAAGCTGTTGGTTAATTCAGCATCTCGTACGTGGTTCAAGAAACTGAACTGGGCCCGGATTCACAAGACTCACTTACGAAAACATTTTTGCGCAAGAGAAATTTTTTTGCGTAAGTCGATTCACGAAACGAAAAAACGTCGTAAGAGGCCATAGTTGTCACATCGGCTGCTGCAAATAAAGCGCGCTGTGACTGCCCGGGAACATGTCAGCGATGGTGATGCAGTTGCTATATTTGCTTACGTCACCGAAAAGTGCTCGTAAGTGGATTCACGAAGCGAAATTGTGCATAAAAACAGCACGGCTGAGAGAAAATCCCAAGAGTGGTCCGGACCACTCTTAGGAACAATGTGGCTACTTAGAACCTGCTGCCGCAGCGGTATACTTTGGTGCCCTGGCTGGTTTTGAGTTAATTCACGCCCATCAAGGGCTGCCTGATGACTGCTGGTGCGTTTTTATTTCTTTCGGCGCTTTGAGCTTCGCGTGTTGTTTCCCTTGTACGCAGTGGATGGTGTTGACAACCACCATCGTCCAATAAGTTCGAAGTCGCAGTAATTGAAGAATTCTATTGGGTGTCAATGGCATAAAACTACGCATGTAAAGATTTGTGGTTAGATGAAAACCAATGTGATACGTGAATGGTCGGTGCATTCGAACGCGACATGGCATAGGATCAACCTTATTTGCTATGTTGTTGTGTTGCGCCCCATCTCATCCAATTAAAAGTGTGACTCGAGATCCTTGCCTCATTGGTGGAAATTACCACCAAAGAGGTTAATGGGAACACATTCTTTGCACGCTATTGGAAATAAAAATGAGAGGAAGTTTTCAGTGAGTAGTTCCTAAAGTTTGTGCTCTAGTGTACTTTCATTGGCTCTAACTGTCCAATGGTTGCGATCTCTGAAATGCAGCTGTCGATACACTTTGGGACGATCTAGAACAAAGCGTACTTTGTAAGCCAAAGCGTATTAGGGGTGCGCATGATTACGCATGGAACTACAAACAAATCATGCATCTTCACCTTCACTGTTCAGACACCGATATGGACCGTGATACTATGGCAAGCAATCGGAATGAAATGACCCTAGTAACTTTGTATGACACCAAAAATATGCAAACCCTCACAATTCTAGAGCAAACCTTGAAAGAATTCATCCCTGCGTCAATTAGCAGCCATTTAACTTGGCGCACGAACCTCATTCAAAGGTAGAGCGAGCCACTGACATGTATTTTGTGCGACGCAGCGACCACTTGCCCTGAGAATAATAGCGTTGCGAAGGCGAATCCCCTGTCGCATGCTCTGATCGAAGCAGACGACAAACGCGAGCAGACGACGGCTTGGCCGACAGGCACAGCTTGTGATTGGTTGTGAAGCAATACCCTCTACATAAGCTCACTCCGTGACGTTGCCAAAACACTTCTTTCATCTGGCACGCCTGTCCTGTTCGTCATATCACCCCCCTCGCACATAAGAGAAATTTTTTTCACGCCGTGAAAATAGTGCAAGTACTTTCTAAGAGCTCTCTTATCATCTTATGTGCTGCGCAGTTGTCGAAAACAACATGGCGTCGTAAACAGCATATCGGTCGGTGCGACTTTCAGCAAACGCTTCTCGCACGAGTTACTTCAGCGTTTGACCGGATGTGTTGTGATTACAGCAGCTCTTTCGGTGCGTGTAAGCAGTGCGGAAAGCTGTGGCAGTGCGATGGTGTACGGTGAAGGGCAGCGAAGCCTGTGCGTCGGTGTGGTTATCAAGCGGAGATCGGCGTCGATGTATCGACGACAACTGGCACTCGAGAAGCCTGCAATGTGTGTTTGTGTGCCGGTAACAGTTCGTTCGCTTGACTTTCCAGTCTCTCAGTTTGGTGCTGTGCGACATTTCGGATTGACAGCGTTTTGACAAGTTACTTGAGTGACCCCAAGTACGTACGGAAACGTATGAACTACGCGCTCGGTTCTTGCTTCGCCACTAGTTAGCCCGCACGCTTCTATTTACTTGAGAGCAATGTACTGTTCGGGAGTGAAACGATGTTCGTTGTGAACAGTAATGCTGTGTTGACGTTCCAAGACTTGTGAACAAGCTGTGCTCGTGTGACCGAAACTTGAAAGACAGCGTTGATAACTGTTTTGCCCTGCGAAGTCGTGGTGGGGCAGCTTGGCGCTTTTGTTTGTCCAGTCGTCACTTCTCCTTTTTGTGATAACCATAGTCCTAGACCTGTGATGTGATCAACCAAAACTGCGAGATGCTACATTCTGTTGTGAATCGTGTTACTTTGGAAGCGCGCCTAGACTGTTCTTCGGTAACAAATTGAGAGTTCTATGTGGCAGCGAGAGCCCGTGAACGTCAAGCTTCCCTCCAGCCCCCCACAAAAGCAAAGATTTCACCGGTGCCTTGCTTTGGATGAAATTGTAGGCCAATATCGCCTAACTACAGGTTTCCGAGTTCGTCTGGCCATCGTTTCACACGGCACTAGAGCCTTGACAACAGCCGGTCATGGCCAGTTCTCACACTTTATCAATGGACGTGCACGCCTGGCCAGCCCTTCTGTCACACAGGTCTCGTAATTAGGGAGGCAATCGCCGGGCTAATTCCAAGAGCCGATGTATCGGCCCCCCGAACCGCACCACGAAAGCGTGGACAATTTAGAAGTGGTCCTTTTTGGCGCGCCAGCGGACGCCGGCTGTGGCCCAAAGAACAAGTCAGAGCCGAGAGTTGATAAACAAACAAATTATATTCTCAATAATGGCAGATAGAAAGCAATACACAAAAATGCACACTCCACAATAGTTGCATACAATATGTCACCAATCAAACCAATCAATCAACGTACTACACAATACAATCAGCCACACTTGAAACAACGGACGCGGACAACAATACGCACTACAATGCAGTCGCATGCATTGAACAACCAAGACACTTAAAGACTAGAGAGATAGAAACCTATTCAGTCCAAAGTTCTTGGAACCAAAGTCTAGATGATACTCTTCCGAGAATCACTCACTCAAAGTCCAGCGTTGTTGTCGTTCCGCAGCCCTCGAAGTTTCTCTTCCAGGAAACCTCCCGTCTTCAATTGGCCACTCTCCAAGCTTCAAACT